AATCATGGCTTGTGCGTAATGCAACTCATATTCTACATAACACGAGTAGCGTCGGAAGGTGTGCAGTAGTTCAGGTAGCCTTCAAATGTTTCGCTCCTTACGTATAAACAGACATTACGTCACTGTGATTATGCCACGCTGACGGGTGGTGTGACAAAGTAGCATCTGGTGACGGATTCTTATGCAAATGTTCCAAGAAAAGTCCATTTTGTTGAGAAGAGCAAATTTCTTTTCCCATGTGCGTATCAGAAACCCCTCACATATAACCCGCAGGTCCCGCTACATTCATTACAGACGCGCATTTATAACCTCCAAGAGGCCGTCATTAACGACAGATTCTTTCTTTGGAATAAACTACAGAAATTATCAAATCATTGTCCGCGGTGTAAGGCATCATAAATGCTTCCCGAAGTGAGAATAAAATTGTCCATACTGTCATGATAACACGTTCTTTATGTATGTGAGAAACGTCAGTAAACCGTCCGTTTGCTCCCTAATTTATCAACTATAGGATAACAGAACTGTCAGTTCTGTTATCCTTCGTCAAACACTACAACCAGCTTCCTTTGTGTTATTTTAACATAATGTTAGCATTCAAATCAGTGTAAATGAGGGAAGGTTAATTTTATTTACACATGCAATCTTTTTCTCAGCGTTAGTTTCTCTTGCAGATTTTACTTTTAGGTCGTTTAAATTCAAGAAATACTTTCCCCACTTCGCCACTCTGTTAAGCGGGTAGTATCATCACGTGGTACATCTCGTTTTCACGGAAAATTCTCCGATTCTTACACACGGCGTTAAAAGAAGTGAGATTTCACGAGAAACAAACAAAGATGTATTCTGGAATGTTGTGTTTCGCGCCTCTCATACGTCGGTCAATTTATACGAGACTACACGGCACAGCATCCCAGAAGACAGTGTTCTTCAGGACGGTAAAACCATTACACCTGTAGGAAATGTCATTAGTAAACAAAGATTAAGTTAAAGTTTATGGTGGTCTTCTTACACCATCAACATAAGAAATGAGGTTTCCAAGGAAGTTAAATGTCGATGCTGACCTTAAGAGTTGAAACGCCCTGTAGAATAGGTAGATATCAACGGTGAAAAGAACAGACTGCCTCTATCTTTCAATGCTGAGGTGCGTTTTACCCAGAAGACGAGCATCGATATTTTGACCGCGGCCATAACCTCAAATCACGCAGGGTCTACAGTTTAGAGTTTCATCAAAACGCTGGAGACTGCTCTCTTCAACATCAAGTTATGACGGTTATGGGATCCATTAAGCACAGAGGGTGTTTTCCCAGCGACAAAGACCGTCCTAGTTTCAAGCTGAGAGGACGAGAAAGTTACAGACGGTTGCTTATTTAAAATGAGTAGGTTCTTGGCCATATTCCAGCAGTGCTGTTACTTTAGGCAGGTAAACAACTTACAAAGAGAGCAAACTTGCACTTCAACGTACATTTCCCTTCCCCGAAAACGGAACTTATTCGCCTGTGGTTATGGGGACATTTTCTGCTTGATGGATAACTATACAGTTCGCGAATTCTGAACCCAGCATAAAATCATTGCGATTTAAGTCCTTTGACGTGTACCAACCAACTCCAGAACGTAGAGAAATTTCGTAGATCTCCACAGACAACTATCTCCACATAGCAGAGTCCTTTTATAGTTGAGAACAAATCTTCCCATACAGAATGAGGTTCTCATGGTGGTGATTCTTCCCGTAAATCTTCACACACCTTAGTTCTCGTTTTCCTTTGTGTTTATGTTTTACTATATAGTGACGTAGGCGAAGGAACTAATAACATTACTGAGCGATATGGGACTTTTTCTAGGTGATTTCGCTTTTGATATTTTAAAACCATAGCCCATTCCAAAAAATAACTTATTCTAACGGAACTGTTACTTTAAACCAACATAGAGCAAATTCTTTAGAAACTGGTAGTTGCTCAGCTGCTGTAAAATTCCCTGCCTCTTATGAAATTCGAAGGTTCATCATCACCGTGTCCACAATAGCCCATCATTGCATCCCATGAGCCAGTTTAATCCAGAACACACACTCACTCATTGTTTCTTTACGATCACAGCATCAACTTGTGCGTCGAACTTAATCCATTTTAACTTTCTAGTCTTTCTACCGTATTGCTACTACAAAACGAGACGCTCTGCTGGCCTAAACAACCAACCAGACGATCGTGACCTCTCATTTAAAGGTCCTACAATGACCCTAACAACTGATCCTGACAGCGAGACACAGCTGCCTTCGGATCGGTCCAATGCAATAGTAATAAATCCTTGCCAACAAGTCCCTATGCGCCTTTTTACAACCCACAGAAAAGTAATTAGTATAATGGGTGGCCCTAATGATTTGCAAACTTGTGCAGTATTCAAAAGGCCTTCGATTTAATCCTATCTGCGGTCAATGGCACTGAAATTAAAAAAAAAATTATACAAAATTGCCAGTGTGACAGCCAATAACCTGACGACATTTGAAGAACCGTCTCCCGAAACGTCGTGCACGCCTGTGACAATGGTTAATATAACAGGCGTAGATAAATCAACCCCATTCTACCCCATGTACAAAAATTCCACTATAACTAAATTAATTTCTTGCAGCAAAGTCCTTCTTTAAAATATGACAGTCATTCAGCTGGTCATGAAATTTGCCGTCTGTTATGGATCTCCAATGTTCATTAATTACCGTGTTAATAAAAGAACGGCGCCATATTCAATCTGCCCCAGTTGTACCGGGTCAATAACCTTACACCATATTTCTTTAATATCCATTTTAATCCAGGAGTCTGCACGTCTTACCCAGTTCATCCCCTTTGATCTGATCAAGCTGATCACTGAAGATCAGAAATGTATCCCATTTAACCAATGTCTAAGCCCGGTCTAGAAGTCGGGGCGTGCGGAAATGCAATATACTAAAATATTTCTGCCATTCTAAGTGGTCTGGCAAGTACTGAGGTGCACTGCTAGCCAGACCGAAGTATTCGCCACTGCATTTAATCCTATTTATGGAAGATCCATTTAACACTACGAAGCCATGCTGGGAAGTAACAGTTTATTATAAATATTTCTGCCGGAATAGACAGTCCATTAAAACAAAAACGGGCACTTTTCTCCGTCATGGCTGCGGTTGCAAAATGAAAAATCTCCGCCCCTCCCGTGAATCGAATTCTGGTCATCAAACAAGTAGCATATTCACTATTCTGACAAACCAATTTCGGCTGATATGGGATGGGCCATATTTTTAACGGCGTCTCAATATTATCGATTAATTATACGTACACGTAATTGAGTGTATTTTCAGGCAGGTTAAGGTCAATGACTTTGCGTATTTCTGCGAGCCATGCAGACAAAGATTTGTTCAATATCAGTTGTGAGTGTTACGGTCGAGTTGTGTTACTATCGTTACAGAATTTTCCCCTATTTCACAAGTTCGAATAATTTATTGAACACACTCCACTTTTCGAGGTCAGCAACCATGCAATGCCTTTATCACGTCACTTCAGCCTTGCACCCAACAGGGCAAAGCGAAAGTACATATACTTGCTTCAAACTTATGAACCCAAGGGGAAATCCCACCAGTACGCTCAGCTGGCGAGATCACTAGGATAAATCTTACCCCCCCCCCCAACTTACGTTGCAGAAAGGGGGAAAGAATGAAGGGGCGGAAGGGAAGTTTTCCTACCCTACTGGAGGGGTGAACAAAGTTTAACATATTCTCATCATCTCTACATCTGGATTCTGTACTGATCTGCTATCAGCCCTTTGTGGTGGTAGACTGAACCATGAGACAGGCAGTGATGGTAACAATTCCATCCACAATGAAACAACGGCCTTACTTCATAACTGAGGATTATTTGTAATTTCCTTCCCTTTTAGACGCAAAATTCATCTGTCTCACGGTCAAAAATAAGATTTTGATTGCAAGACCAGAGCAAAACAAATGAATATTAACATGATAGGATGTCAGTGTGAACTGGATTCGACTGTATGGGGGCAGCGACCAGTGTCGGGCTCTTGTGAATACATTACCGAACGAACCTTTGGGTTCCAAATTCGGTGACCACATGAGCGGTTATTAAACATCGTCTTGTGGACTTTACTCCATGGAGGTGGTACAGGCATATGAAACTTTTCTGTTTCTCCATTCATAATTCAAAATCATGCAATCATACAACCATTCAAGGCCAACGAACTTCAGTATTTGATACAGAGTCACAGAGTTGCCAAATAATGGACGAAGCAACTAAAAGCACTTGTATGATCTGGAAATTGAAAATGTTGCACTGTACCAATCCTCCACACCCACCTACGCCATATGCGGGCTGATGTTCCTGAAAGCACAGAGGTGGGTGGACCTTACGCGGAAATGGATATTAGGGTAAATGCTGGAGACCCTCATCAGTCCAAACACAAAAGACAAATAATAACTCTGCCGTGTATTTCCAACACAAAAGCAGCGGATACATTAAACTAAAAATTCTGTTGGAAAAAGTGGGGTGGCAAGTCGCGGATACTTGAAATCTGCGGTTGGTGAGGGACTGCTGTACCCTACAATATGACAACCGTATCTTCTTCCCGTCTCTAAATCGGATTATATGCAGATTCTGTAACTACCGTGCCGTGTTGGGAAGGCATGAAGGTCCACTCATCCTCAACCGTTCTAGAGTCGCTAGAAATATTATGTCACTGTCCTGGTCACGATTTGATGATCCTCCTACCATGGCTCTGTCGAAGTGGCACTGGCCGATAACCACGTGTCTGCCAGGCAGATTGCGAACTTAATTTATTTGCGACCACTGTACCAGCTTGCGACTGCATTCTTCGACGTTTCGGGCTTGAACAAAAAAATGGCGCTTGCTACTTCACACGTGATCAGGGCGAGGGATCATTAAATCGCGACGCTACTTTAAAGCTAGTTCCCATCACATGGTCTTTGTACCCAAATGACATAACTGGTCAGTTTGCCGTAAACTTTAATGAACTACCTTGAGATTGTGCGCTATCTGACGGATGTAGTACAAATCCAAGTCCTGCAGAATCTCGATCTTGCCATAGCTGTCAGCCTCCCCGGGCGACTGCTGTGCGGCGGAGGGGCGACCCTGACGGTTATTGGTGGTCTGGTGGCCATTTGACTTACGATGGTCCCTGAGGCTCAGGGCCGCCAGAGGAGGGAAACACGAGTCCATTACACTACCACGGACAAAACTTCCCCGCTTAGAGGGGAGATATCAATAAAGAACTTAAATTTTTAGCATCATCATAACGATCGTATCGGAATCAAACTAAAAACCATTATGTGTGATACTTATATATTAACAAACATCACTTTGTGTAACCACTACAGTTTACCGTTCAATTCTGCCATAGAATATTTAAATTGCACAAAACACTGCACAAATGATTCAAAGCACTAATGTCAAGAATCCTCTTCAAACCGACTGTATGCAACACACAGAGGGATTCAGACGTTGGATATTTCTCCACACTACAATTCAGTTTTGATACGACTTTCGGTGCGCGGAAAATTCATTTAGATTTTCCATACTCGCAGCTGTACAAGTTTTAGAAATAAATCGTAACCTTAACAGGAAAACAAACTCCATTCAACACAAACCACTTCCCTCAATGCCTAGTTCAGAACTGTGCGTATTGTTCGGCACAAAAGGGTAGCCAAGGGGACTGTTGAGGGGGGGAAGTGGGGAGACGGGTTATTTGACGCAAGCGCGACTGATGGCACAGGGTGGACGTAGAAAACTGGTTATAGAAACACGTGCGCCGGCAAAATAATGCATGAGGTTCTCATTTATCGGCACCCCATGCCGGCGTAGAACACAGCATTTGTGCACTTCTTCGATCACTTATCGTGCTGCAGATTCACGCTTTCGGTCCATCGCTTTCACTTTCATATCAGTTTGTATATATCCATCTCTGAAGAGCTACTTCATCGCAGACAATTCTAGCAGTATTTAGAGAAAGAGATTGTTCACGGAGAAATTTCACTCAAAATTTACAAGACTCAAATGAGCAGTATACAGATATTTAGCAATCGCGGCACAAATTCAAGTACTGTCGTATGATTTATGTTTTAAAAAATAACAGTCCAATCAATAATTAAAGGCGTAAATACGAATATCATTATACTCCCAAAAAAAGGCAATTTGTTATCTTCACACATACGAAACTTCGGACAGGATTCAACTGCTATATCTTATTAATATCATCATTATACTAATACTGTTTTGTACGTTTAATAGTTCTAACTCTGGCACGAAATTTCACACTTAATTTAAATTTTCTTCCACAAACAACACAGGGCTTCTATTACGATATTCTTGATCGCGCACACAACTTGTGTGAAACACCAACACTCCAGGCAGTCAGCTTAATTCCACGTCCCTTTGTTGATACCGCACAGAAGGATGAGCCTAGAGAAACACAAACGAAGCAACAACCAGCTGCTAGGTGCCGCCTGGAACAACTGCGAGGCCAAGCCAGCGACCAGCGAACAGCCGTGGCGGGCTCGTCGGCAAGCTCAGTCAGCTGCTTCACCATTGTCGATTAGACAGGCTGCGAAACCTTTCATCAGACGTTGTCGCTGTGAAGGGCACTTCGCGCACAATGGCAAATGGGCGCATTGTCCCGTCGTCAAAGCGCGCATTATAGTCTCAAAACTATATAGCAAAATACAGCCACCATCATAGCTCTCTTACTTCTGCGCCATCGCCCTCATATTGGAGACATGAAGAACCTCTGAAACCCTACCAGACTGCACGGCACAACGCTGAAGATAGACATATTCAGACAAGGAATTTTGTGCCTTAATCACAGTTTCGTCACACAACATTCAACATGGCTGTTGCGCCGTGTAGTCTGGTACAACTTTATCGACGTTTCGGAGGTCCTTGCTGCCTCCATCATCAAGGCGATGATCAAACTACACAGTGCAACAACCCAGAAGACAGCCATCTTCAGACTCACCGCCGTGAAAACATCAAATCCTATGAAGTCAACATTCATTGTATTTTCCTGTTACCAGACACGAGTGAATTTAAGCATCACATGGGACTCCATCCCAAAGTTATATAAGGTATTTAAACAACAAACGCGGTTTCCAGGCATATTTATCTCCTTACCATAATGTAAATTAGCAGCTAAAGTG